GCCAGGCCCCACACAATGCCAATCAGCCCCGGCCCAGCCCCGACCTTGAACGCTGTGCAGCGCCCCCCGTCCCAGGGGAGGACGACTGCAGCCACAATGTATGCACATTAGATATATATCATTTTCTAAATGGTCTGCTACTTACCAAAAGAACCAGTGACTGATAAAGAACAGGTTCAGAACGTGCTCCGACGGAGGTGGCAGCTGCCTAGGCCCGCTCTGATACGGCGGACAGCAGCCTTGGGTGCAGCACTCCCGGGGCAGTGAACAGATGTGCCCGCCCTCGCAGAATCGCGCCTTGACCTGCGAAACGAAATGGAAGGCAAAGAGTCATCAGATGCAGTCAAGACATCGCTACGAACAATTATGCATATTAATAAGCGAGAGGAGTATGCTTAAACAAATTAATTGCTGGAACAAACAATTTGAATAAATGTTACACAGGCAGACAGGTAGACAGACAGATGGACAGACACACACAGTGTCAATAGGTGAAACGAAACAAAATAAAACAATCAACTAACAAAGTCAACAAAACAAGAAGAAGCAGTTCTATTCCAAACTCATAGCAACAACTACAACTAGCTACAGTAGATATGGTTGTTATGACTATAATTGGGAACATTATGTGTATAAAAGTATAATAGTATAACAGTATAACAGTATAACAGAATAACAGTATAACAGTATAACAGTATGCGAATTTAACAGTATTTCAGGTGAACAGTGTAACGGTATAGCTGCTCAACAGTATAACAATATAACATCACAACAGTATACTCGTATAACAATATAGCAATATAAAAGTATAATAGTATAGGAATATTTTAGTTAAACAGTATAGCGGAATAATAGTATAAGAGTATAACAGCATGACATAACACCAGTATAACAGTATATCAGTATACCAGACTAACAATATAACATCATTGTAATATAATCGTATCACAATATACTGTATAAAATAATAACAGAATAATATTATATCTGTATAAAAGCATAAGTAGAATACGAGTGTACCCGTAGGACAGCAAACCGTGTAATAGCAGTATACCAGATTACCAGTATAACAATATATACAAGTTAAATAGTTAACTGTTTAACTGTAGTGTCTTAATATTACAGCATTGAAAAATAAGAAGATAACAATATAACAGTATAACAATGTCAATGTGCAATCATTTTACAGCAACAAAGGATCTCAATATAAAGGAATATAACTATAGCAGTATAGCAGTCGAGCGTAAGCCCGAAATCAAATTGAGACGCAAAATATTTAAAGCTGTAAAATACGAAATGCTAGAGCTGTTAACACGTCTTTAAGAGGGTTGCTATGGATTTATTCAAAGATTCAGATTATATTATTCTCGCATAATACATCCAACTATGAATATTTAGAATTTCTTCAGTTTAAATTTGAATATCGTAAAGAAGAACAGAATCGCACAAGAATTGCTTAATTATTTGCATACACTTTGAGTGCCATATGTAATCTAAGGAAAACACCCCAGTTAATCCAGGGTATCTGCCAAGATGTTGTGTTGCCTCTATGTAATTTTGGCAAATGTAATTTGAGCTTGCAACATTTATGTGGGGGAGCCACTGGGCGCTGCGTGCTGGGGGCTAAGGAAACTTACTTGAACGGGCAGCCGCAGCAGAGCGAAAAGTATTGGAAATAGACGGAGCATTGTTGAAGCATGAAACCACATGGTGGCCACGATGTTGTCCAACTGGCGCCAAATGTCGATTGGGGTGGTTCGAGTTGCCCTGTCTGGGGTTGTTGTTGCTGTTGTTGCTTCTGTTGTTTAGCTGCAGGCTGCGTTGCTGTTGCTGTTGCTGTTGTTGTTGTTCGTGTGATTCTGTTTTTCCGTTTTTGGTGCTCTTGAATGCTTGAGCTAGTTTCGTGTCTCGGTGATTTTTGATACCCTTTCGCTTACAGCACGCACACACACTCACACATACACGCACACACACAGACACAGACACAGACACGCACGGACGCACGCACGCACGCACACAGGCAGACTAGACGCCAGTCGCTACATGGCAGGGTGTTTTGTTTTGTCCTTGACAGACAATGCAATTTTTCGCTGCATACTTTTGTGCTGGCTGCCTCTCTTGTGTTTGTTGTTGTTGTTGTTTGTGAGATGCAGCAACTGCCTTTTCAGTGTTTACTGCAGCGTTAGTCGATAAACTTTTAAAACGCAAACAATTCACGCATGTCTGTGCATGTAGCTATGCAAATAGATGACAGCATAACGACACTTGCACACGCACACACGCACACGCACACGCACGCGCGCTTATACAGCAAATGCCAATCGTGTTATTTATTTATTTTCTATACTCTTTTAGCGTCAAATATTTATTATAATATTTTTTCTCGGTCGATTGTGCTCCTCTAAGTACACACATACACACACAAAAAAACACACTGTTTTCGTGTAACAGCACTTTGCCAACGGTTTTCTTTATGCTCTTTCTTCGCGTGCCTTAACAGTTGTTGTGCTCTCTGCTCCTCCTCATTTTTCAGTTGCTGATGTTGCTGTTGTTGTTTTTGTTGTTGGCAGGCAGACAGGCAGGCAGTAAACAATTACAGAATACGAAAATGTTGTTGCTGCCCACCCAGGAGCTCAGCTAGGGTTAGGACTGCAGATAGCGCGTGCCGTACAAAGAGCACAAAGCTAAGCGTGCCACGAGCGTACAATAACAACTGGACAAGTCTTTAACAAATATTAGAGGCAGCGAGCGACAGGCTTGCCAAGGCAACTGGGGCCGCGCCTGCTGCTGTGCTAGAAAAGCTCTCTTCGCTTTGCCAGAGGCTGCCAACCCTTACAGCTGACTGCAGAGCTTTGGGTGAGCTTGCAAAGCTAAGCAATAAACAAAGCTGTGTATGTATGTATGTATGTATGTATGCAATTTTATGAACCAACTTCACAATACACAAAACTTTTATACATACATATGGATGTACATATATTTTTGGGCGTTAAAAATAAACTCTGTTTTGAGTGTTGCGCTCAGAAGCTTTCGCCGTCTAACGCAAATCAATACAAGAGGCAGGGTTCACGACTTGTTTGAATTGAATTAAAAGAAAATATTCCGATTTATTAAGATGGTAAAAAAAAAAAAAAACAAAATTAAGCACGCAGTCTGTAGGGGTTCTGTGCCTTGTCAGATACTTGAAATTGGGAATACTTTCGTCTTAGAAGCTGGTTAAGATGTTTATGATTTTCTCTACTATGAGCATTTTAAATTGGAAAATACTATGTGTAGCATATTAAAATGCTTATTAATTAAAAATATTTTTATTTTTGTATTTGAAAAAATATTTAAATATATGTCTTTTGGCAAAAATGCCATACATCTAGCTCCCTGCATTAGTTCCTAATATTTTGATACTTTCTGCTTGAATAGATGTGCTCATAGGTTCTCATAAATCGCACAACACCAGAGCAGAAATTCAGTCATTGATAATGGATAAATAATTTAAAATAAAAATCACATTAATTTTAAGCAAAACTAATAAGAAAGCTGCTCGACTATGAGATCCCTGGAATATTGATTTATATTTATTTATCATTACATTGATCAATTAGTAATTTCAGTCTCATTTGCTTCAGAGTCGTAGGCACAAGTCAGCAGCAGTTTAAGTACGACCCTCGTACTGAAACTGCGGCTTCCTTGCCGAATGGCAGCCAAGCAGTGGCTTGCTTTGGCTTTTGGTTGCTTGTTGTGTGGTTTCATGTGCACCGACCAGTATAAGTGGCACATATATGAGTTGAGTTCGGGTCATCCCGAAGGGTAGCAGCATATCTGGAGGCGAAAGTCCCATTAGTATTGGCCGTGATTGTCACAGATATTAAGCAACTTTGCTAAAGCCAACTATTATTTTCTCAATCTTGGCTGTACTTACATTTCCTGTGGTCACGGTCAATGTGGCTTTGCACGCGGTCTCAAGTCAGGTATTATCTTAGCCGGCGTTCTTTACGAAAATGATCTAATGTTTGCGCTAAAATTTAAGAAACGTAAGCTGCCAGAATTGATAACTGCAATGGAGTTGAACAGTCTGATAATTCAAGGTTACGTGACCAATCTGCATTATCGCCACAAATACTTACCTGAGAAGAATGTGTAATTTGTTTTGTTTTTTTTTTTTTTTTGCCTTGAGGCTATGCCCCGTTTCCGGGCTAACTAAACTAAACTATTTCATTGTATATTGCCCTAAACTGACTTAGGCCTACTACTACATTTTCCCTTGTAGCCATCTGGCATCACTATTATGTTTCCAGTCGATATATTCGATAATATATGTATATGAATAGATAATAAGAGTTGTCATCTTTATTTTTAGGATTTGCGCATTATCACTAACAAAAATGTATGGTTAGTGGCATTATCAAACTTACATATGACGTGATTAATAAGCTTTGTATGTTGTAAACCTAAGCAAAATAATTGGAGATATAAATGTATTTTAATTTGATAACCATCACCATAAACCGGTAACATGCTATTTAAAAATCTTATATGCTATTTCCCTTATGAAAAAATCGAAATTATATAAAATCCACACGAATCTATATTGATTTTATTTATTGGGTGACTCTAGCTCAAATTATGTAGGAGACATAATGATATTAATGATAAGGTTTTTAGTCGATAACAAAAAAACGGTTAAAGTTAGCGGCTTTTAGAGACAAACTCGATCGATTTGAATGGTAATAGTGGGTTCCAGGTATCCGGAAACTCTGTTGATGCGAAATAGTTGATGATATGCCGGAAATAGAGTTATCCTGAATGGTATCACTCTTGTTGGGTCAGACTATTAAACCTTGAATTATCTCCTTAAAATTATTAAAAATCGACTTTAAGTTCGACTGCTGTGGGTATTGCTTGAGTCTCTGAACTATTAGAGGTATTCATATGTAATTTAGTCATCGAAATAAACAACAAATTTGGAAAAATATTATTTTTTATTTTTATTTTTGCTGGTTTACTTGCCATAAATTTTGCTTGTAAAGTTTTTAGTGGGAGAAATAGCCAATTGTTGGGTCCTTAACTCTAAGCGCAACATAAGACTCGATTGCTTTGTTTGCTGTTTGCCTTGTTCGTCCAGTCTACGTGGGATGAGTCGATTGGGCGTCTAGAAGTCCTTGTTGGTCTCCCAGGCGGTGTGCACGCCGTGGTAGCTGTTCTGCCTCTGGGCAGGGGCGTTGCGGCCGAAGGGGCTGCTGGGGTTCACCTGGAGGATGTAGTCGCCCTTGATGTCGTAGGCGGCATCGATGCCCATGTAGGCGCGCTTGCCGTAGCCGTCGTTCTGCTTGTACTGCTTAAGGGAGTTGGCGGGCACGGCGGGGAAGCTGCGCTCGTAGCCTGGACGCACGGACTCGGCGAAGAAGCGGGTGGCGCGCATGGTGGCCTCAATGACGTTCTCAGCGCCGGGAACACCGGTGGACGGGCCATTGGGATAGAAGTCGACGTCGCCGTTGCGGATGGGTGTGCCCATGCCGTAGACGGACGTGTGGATGACATCAACGAACTCGGCATCGCCGCGAGCCAGGCCGGTCAGGGTGTTGGGGTTCTTGGCGACAATGTGGCTGGGGTCCAGGCCGGTGACGCGGCGCAGCTTGTGGCCAGTGAGGCGGGTGAACTCGTTGGCAGCAGCGCCGGCAACGTGAGCGCCAACATTCTCGCCAATCACGTGGATGGTCTCATAGGGCAGCTGCAGCTCGCTGGTCAGCTGGGCGATCCACTTGCCGAGCTTGACGCCGGTCTTCTCAATGTCCAGCATGGCGTAGCGCTTGTAGTTGGTCAGGGTGGAGCCCAAGTCGATCACCTGTAGCGAGGGTATTACAAATGGATGCATGAGTGGAGCTCTCTCTCAACGCTCTCCCCGCCCTCGCACTGCTACTCACAATAATGTCGCCAGTGTTGGTGTTGGCATTCTTGGCCTGCTCGCTGTAGTCCTCCTCGCTGGATGTGCGCGGCTGCTTGTTGTCCTCGTCGACGTTGCTGCTGTACTTCTGGGCCTGCTGCTGCTGCTGCTGCAGGTTGTAGCGCTGCATGTAGGCCTGGATGAGCTTGCGGTTGGCCTTCTTCACAGTCTCGCTGGTCTGGGGTAGGCCGGTGACAATGATGGTGACCTCGTCCTGTCCGAAGTTCTGCTTCTGCTTCAGGCGGTGGATCATCTCGTTGATGGGCGCCACGATCTTATCGCCGTTGGGTCCGGGCACATAGACCTGAACGCTGCTAGGCACAAAGCTGGGCTCCACATCGTGATTGATCTGCGACAAGTGATCTGGATGGAGGAGCAAGGACGACCATTAGCCAAGGACCAACTAAAAGGCAATTTCTGTCCAGATACTTACACACTTGCTGCAGCAGCTCGGCGCCCTTCTCGAGGGGCATGCTCTCCAGACGCTCCAGCGTCAGCTCATCCACAGCGGGAATCGATTCCAACTCCTGCACGGACAGCCACTGGGATGGCTTCAGCGCCTGGTTGACGCTATTGCCGCCCATCCGGGGGGCTGGGCCGGCCATGGCCGCAACGACCAGGCAAGCCAGAAGGCTAAGCACTCGCATCGGATTCATTGTGTTCTAGACCAGGGCTTCAACTACTGCAGGAACTTCACTGAGCTCTCAATGTTGCTATGAGTTGAACTGTCTTCCACAGCGGCGAGCTACACATTTTATAGCACCCAAGCCCATTCGCTTTTTGCACTGTCAGAACTCGAGCCACAAATGCAGCGTTGCAGTTTCTAAATATATGAAAATATATGTAGAGTTTGACAGCTGATAGGTGCCTACGTTTGCTTGATACCTTACGGATCCCCCATCCCTCGTCTCGACTCCTAAGGGTCTGCAACAAACTAAGCTGCCTGATAGCAAACTGCTTGAATGGGCAAAATATTGTAATAGCCGCACAAGCTACGCAAATACATTGTAAGACTATACGATAAGCCTATATACATATATACATATATATATACATATATGTATAGACTATAAAATATGTAATATAGATGCAATGAATGTACTTAAGCTCGTCTCGACTCCTAAGGGTCTGCAACAAACTAAGCTGCCTGATAGCAAACTGCTTGAATGGGCAAAATATTGTAATAGCCGCACAAGCTACGC